CACACACACACACACACACACACACACACACACACACACACACACACCGATCAATCAGTTGGATACCGCGTAAATATAGCAATCCATTTCTTTTGGTACCCCTTATGTTGAACGATTATTGGCTATTATGTAATATGATGAACGCTTCTGAAAGGAAAACAGTTTGGATTGTCAAATTCTACAAACGACAAATGAAAAGAGACCAAATTATACCATTCATCATAGAACATTCGATTGGTATCGAATCAATGGCATCAGATTACTTTATCACAAATTAGTGGATAGATCCGAGTGAAAGACTCATATTCAACTCTATTACGACAACAACAGCGAAATGGTCACCTTTTTTGCGTCTATGCACAGAGTATCGAATTTTTTGGGTGTCATAAATTTAGAAATCATACAATTTCATGCAGACGAAAATGGAAAATTAAATGACTGTGTGAGATTGAGAAACAACGTGGAAGCAGATCCAAGCGAAATGTTTCGTTCACCACGCAACCACATAAATTCAGTAGCGTATAATTTTTTCGCAAAATTAGTATTTTAATCCAGTTTGTGTGCCAGAAAATCATATTTCATGTTGCATTTCTTTTCGATAAGTCATTGTATTCTAATGAAGAAATTGTATTCTCACCGAATTTCTTTTCTTTCACTGCTCAAACAAAAGAGAAAGAATCGGAGAGAATGTATTCAAAAAATTAGTTTTAGATGGTTACATGATTTCGACATAGTTTCTGCCACATTTCATTTTCACTATCAGTCACGAGATTCGGCTGTATTAAAGCACTATCTTATGTATATGTACAACATTTTCTATTGTAAACATTAATATTAAATATGCTGGATTGCCAAAATAAACGCTTTCAAATGAGCTATCATCAACTAATTAAAACTGGTGACCATACGCGATAAGCGATCGATGGGTATTGATTTGGTTCAACACACAAAGGAAGTTTACTCATTTTTTTTTTTATTGATTGACTAAAAAAATTGAATGCGATGAATAAATAAAATGAGACGGTATTGCAAAGTAAAATGATTAGCATAAAAATGAAATTCTGTGTGTTGTCTGCGGCGCTCATTTGGTTCAAGTCATATGCGATGTCGACGGAAAAAAGTTAATCAAAAATCCCCGAAAAAATATGTTATCGGTGAATTGGGCAAGATTATGTTTTTCATAAAATTTTGGTTTGATTTCGAAAAAGTCTACTTCATTTTCATTCGTTCACATAAACCCATTTTCGTCAATGTTAATGGCGATTAGCATTTTTGATTAAGAAAAAAATCAGCTTAAATCCTGTTGGTCATTTACATGTTTCATTGAACCTTCAACTCGATTACTTTTTTTTTTTATTTTCAATCCCGAACTGGGTCACTGCAATTAGGCCATAGTTCATGGAAACGTGCATTGTTACTGTGATGATGTTTTGTCCACAAACCAGCGCAACTCCAGGATAATTGCTGTAAATTTACATCGTTTGTTTGCCTTACGATGATCTACTCAACGACGAATAAGGTGAAAAGTGGAAGGAAACAAATAAGACCCTCGAAGAATAGAGTAATAAAAGTCAATTCAATTTTCGGTTGTAAAGTTTTTTTTACTGTATTTACTCATAATTTTTTATTGTTATCCGGGCAGAGATATAGTGATCCAAGCAGAGATATGTCGAACTGAGAGAAAGATTGAGGAAAAGAGATAGAGCACAAAAACGACCTAAGCGCATAATTGGTGTTTACTCTTCTTTGCGCTGAACTTCGGTACGATTTGTGTTTGTGTTTTGCATGTGATTTGCATATATTTACAATGAAAAAAAAACACGGAGAAATGAACGATAAAAATGGAGAAAATATGGAAAAGGAATTGCTAAGAGGATTTTGCAACGGTAGTAAATTTATTTCGTCCAAAATATCGAAAGATGTATATTTTAAAGTAAACCAAAGGGTCATTGAAGACTGAATCGTCCCTTTTTCAATGCAAACGCACACACCTGAATAGATGCAATGGTCATATAAAGATCTCTATAGAATCAAATCATTTCACGCTTTTGTTTAAATAAATGAACTTCAAGTGTTGGGTTGATTTCCTTTAATGCCAATTATAAAATGCATTGAGAACATCACAACAAGTTCTTCGCAAAGAGTTTGAATTGAATACGAAAGGGAGCTGAAGAAGAAACACGTTAATTCACCGTTTTATTACTTTGAACTCTCGTTGAAGTCCATAAAATTTGATTCGGTTGGTTCGGATAATCGATGTTCCGTTAGTGATGATTTACGCTCATTTTCCGCTCCTCAAAAATGCACCTCGAAACCGATTTAAAAGTTTACTATATTTTCTGCTAGATTTTCTGTTATTTGTTTCAGGCATCAAAATGGAAAACTTTTCTTGACATAACACGACCTTTTGTTGATGTTTTTCTCCCTTCGAAATTCTCTGCGGCACAAAAAAACACACAACAAAACCAGTGAGTTACACAGAGAAAAATGAAATACAGGTCAAATGGATGAATCTGATGATGAAGTATGCAAATGTTGCCCTGTCGTAGTCGCCGTCAACGTCGCAGTCGACAATGGTTTGTTTATATTGGTCAAAGTGAAACAAACGTAATAAAATTTAAAGAAAAGAAAAGAAAAAAATTGTATTTGTATGCCTATCTTTATTAGCGATCCCATTGATTGGAGTTTTGTTGTTGTTGCTTTGATGTTATCGGTTGTAGTAGCGTCAGAGGCCTATTTAAAAAAAAAACATTATGTTTACATGGTTTCTTTGTTTTGCCACCTTACATGGCTCTTCGTAGCAACGATAATTTTTGACCGCCGATTGGACACTGTGTGTTTTTCGTTTCAAATTTTCATTCGTTCACATCGCACTGCATAAATTGTTAAAAATGTTCAGGTGGTGGATAAAATGAAGAGAAAATTAACCAATTTTATTCTGATTCGTAGTGTAGTGTTCGTGTTGTAAGGCATTTAAATCTTTTTTTTCCATTGCCAATATACTGAGCCAAATGTTTGTTGGAAAAGAGCCAATGGGTCAAAAGTTCAGTTCGAGTCAAAGATATTGTCCCTCCGAGACTTAGTGATCGGCAATGGCAGTTGAGCTTTGTTTTTTTTTCCACTGAATCTCTTGGATTTTCCGTTCATTTAGTCGTATTAGAGTTAATCCGTTTGTTTTCACCGAGCCTAGATCACAACCAGTTCAAAACAACAACACCAAAAAATGTAGAGCTTAAACATGTTTGTGTTATTTTTGCACAGCGCCATATGCTTACACAATGGGCTTAAACTTGGTTTCTCTCTCTAAATCTCCGTATCAATGACCAAATGTGGAACAATGAAACTCTGACTGTGCGCTAAATATGTATGCCTTGTTCAGGGGGAAAATCCATAAAATTTGTGTTGCATTGTTTCAAAAAATCATTCTGCTTTTCTTCGCGTTCATTTTGGATGGCGTTTGAATTAAGACAAATTATATTGGCATATGGTCGAGTGAAGATCCAAAAGCTCGGCGAACGCTGCCGTCGTTCACGCGACGTGTAATCAATTGATTAGAAATTGTTCACGATTTCTCATTGTGATTAATCTTTGAATGTCAGCAGCGCGGCAATGTGTCTTTCTCTCCCTGTATTTTGTAATCACATGATCGCGTCCATCACGCGCCTACATAAACAATCGTCAGTGCTCTCGCACCATTGTTTTTTTCCTCTGCTTGCT